TGTAAAAACAACTAAAAGGGTATACTTGGGATGTTTAAAGGTACAATAAATGCTTAAGATGAGGGACACCACATTTACCCTGATGTGATTATTATACATCGTATGCCTGTCTAAAAATATCTCATATACCTTATAAATACATATATCTATGTACCCATAAAAATTAAAAAAAATAAGAAACAAAGAAAAAAAAGAAACTGATGGTCAGACTTTAGGCAACTCTCTAGATTGGGAACAAGTGGTACAGCTGGGCTCTGAACCCACAGCTATCGAACACCAAAGCTCTTCTGTGGAGGTTTGAGCTTACCAAGAAACCCCCTAAAGACAGAATTGCTCAGGCCTTTTTTTTCCCTTAAAGATGGAGTTTCAATCTTGTCACCCAGGCAGTGGTGCAATCTCGAGTCAATGCAGAATCCGCCTCCCAGGTTCAAGCGATTCTCCTGCCTCAGCCTCCTGAATAGCTGGGACTACACATGCCCGCCTACATGGCAAGCTAACTTTTTCTTTAATATAGTTTTAATAGAGACGGGATTTCACCAATGTTCGCCAGGCTACTCTGGAACTCCTAACCTCAGGTGATCTGCCTCGGCCTCCCAAAATGCTGGGGATTACGGGTGTGAGCCACCAAGCCAGGTCAGAAATCCCCAGGGCCTTGAAACAAAGAGATCCCAACAATTAACAAGCCTTAACAAAACTACATCTGAGAGGTGACAGGAAGTAATTATTTAATTTTCTGTATCTCTCAATATTTCCACTATGTTTATAGACAGATACACACCAAAAGGGCAGTTACAAAGAGAGTAGTTCTGGGAGGACAGACCAAGAGAGACTCACCTGCCATTTCAGTCTCAAAGAAGCCAATGAGAGACTGCATGAAGGACAGAGTCCACTGGTCTGTAACGTTGGGGCTTTTTCTAACCGTGTCCTCATTGTAGAGACATTCTATTTCTTCTTCCTAGGAATGAACATTCAGTTAAACACTTGCACATTGGGGTAAGGGAAATAAACTTTTTAAATCACTTAAACAAAACCAAAAACAAAAATCCCAAAGCCCGCTGGCAATGTGAATTTCTGATTTTCAGTGGTATTTTCAAGATAAGCACCAACGTAGGACATTAAGTCCTCAATTATGTTTTTGAGTGAACCTAAGAGAGTTTAGGAAAACATTACTTCTCTGCGCCAAACAGTAATTAAGAATTGAGAGATATTCTAAACCCTTGTCAGAAAGTGCAGGGTTTAGTTACTTTAAACCTCAGGAAGGAAGGACAGTCAAACTGTCTAGGACTCAATGACTGTCCGCAAACTGAAAATGAGTACTGAGAAGTAGCTGCCATGCTAAAGCTGTTCGTGTTACCCAGAATGTTCTAACCCACCCTTTGCAAAATCCTCCTTGATCTTAAGTCCCTGCTCCATACACAGAACTCACGTCCTGCTGTGTTTCTCTGGCAGCACCACAACCAGGCTCTAGCACAGATCTATTCGCTCCAGCAGAGATATATCTGACATGGCTCTGGAGGTACAAAATTAAAATAAATGATGAAAGAGAATTCGAATACCAACAAGACAGTGAACCTAGAAAGGAAGTAAGGCAGAGGCAATCCGCATCTAGCCTGGGGAGGACTTGGACAGCCCGACAACACCCAACAGAGGTCCTCTTCCCCAAACAGACCTCTAGGTTTAAAAGTGCCTTTATTATCAAGAAAACTATTTGGGGAGTTGAAGATCAACAAGCATACCAACGTAACACCCAAATTATAACAGAGATGTGTTGTTAAAAACCTAACTATAAATCAAATCTAAGAATTCGGACTAATAGTATACAAGACGCTTACATGAAAAACAATAAATACACACAAGGCAAAGCACTGGTTTGTACCTGAGCGCATCGGCACCATACTTCTGGATAATGGAAACTGGATCTGAATTATTCTTTTTCCATTTGCTCATTTTTTGGCCATCGCTTGTAAAACAAAAGGGAGATGCCAATTAAGTCAATATCACAGATGATCTTGATAGAAGGATACAAAGCATTTGCAAAAAGGAATACAAAAGAGGAAATGGGAAGGAGTAACTTAGAAGTTAGTGTTAATAGGCCAGTCACAGTGCCTCATGCCTATAATCCCAGCACTTTGGGAGGCCGAGGCAGGCAGATCACCTGAGGTCAGGAGTTCGAGACCAGCCTGGCCAACATAGTGAAACCCTGTGTTTTACTAAAAACACAAAATTTAGCTGCGTGTGGTGGTACACACCTGTAATCCCCACTACTGGGGACGTTGTTCTGGTAAGTTTACCATGATTTTGCTTCAATTGCTCTCCATCGATCTTCTCAGCTAAGATCGAGGTGAGCTGCACGGTGGAAGAGGGCTGCATGGAAGAAGTCAGCTCTGTCTCAGAGGATAAAAGGCCTGGGAACACCTAGACAGGCAGGCACTGCATGGAGGTCACTCCCCTCCCAGCAGCCATGGTGGAGGCATTTCATAGAAATGCTCAAGGACCATTCACATTTAGAATTGAGATCAAACCAAGAACTCATGAGGGATATTGGACAGGAGTTAGAAAGTGAGTTTCTCACACAACTGGAGCAAGGAGGGGAGAACCCTGGGCTTGAGACTTACAATCCACCATCTTCCCTGCAGTGTGGCCCCGGTTATGTTGTCTTGCAACTCTGCCTGCATGTCCAATTGTGTTAGGAAGGGGCAAAGGCTTCCTAAGTGCCAACAGGAAGTGTTTCGGGAAATGATCAGTGTGTACCTGTCTATCTGAAAGCATCTTCCCTTCCTGAAGCCCCTCCCATCAGTGCAAAATTACTGCAGCCCAGCAGGGAGTGATGTGTGTGTGTGTGTGTGTGTGTGTGTGTGTGTGTGTGTCTCCCCGGAGATTTTGTTGCTGTGCTCCGAGTACTCACTCCGCATCTCCTCTGACCAGTTTCCTAACACTCCTCCTGCTCACAGCACAGAATGTCAGTGCTCTTTCCTGCCATTTGGATGCTGATAAACGGTCAGTGACTCAGTCTGAAAACGAGAACGAAGCAAATTTTTTTTTAAGGACAGGCTACAAAAATTCCCGTGCTGAGAACCACATGCGATGACACTGAATTCCAAACAGCAAGCATGTATGCTGAAGATTGAGGCCAGCAGTGAGCTGACAGAGGCCAGCCAGGATTCTGAGATGCGCCAGGGTGCATGGGGATGGGACATTGATGGAGAGCATCCTGGCTTGTCTCAGAATGGACATAGGTAGTAGATTCCTAACTCCTGGAGAAACCAGAGCTCTAGGAATTGTAGGCCGCTTTGTTAGGAAAGAAAAAGACGACGGGTGTTCTGTCCTCCTGTCCCTTACATCTGGGCCTACTGCTACTGAACCTGGAAGCTGAGAAGGGTATACTGGCGACTCCAGACCTCTCGGCGTCAAATCAGACTATTTCTTTTTTTGCAACGGTTGTGTTTAGTGGTGAAGCCAAGATTCACACTTCAGTCTCCTTACTGCAAGTTCTCACTCTCACAGAAAAACTTAACGATAATGACTTAATATGTTACACTTTCTTGGAAAGAGTTACCATATAAAGTTCAAGATCCCAGTGAGTGGTGAATAATACAGATAAAAGAGAAACAGATTTTTTGTAAAGTATACCCTAAACATCGTGTGAATGACAATTACAACAAAAACTGACCTACTGTTTATCTTGAAGTCAAATTCCACTTGGCATTCCCTATTCATACTTGCTATATATCCGGCCGCTCTTCTTCCATGCATTTTTAATTTTAAAAAACGGTACAACATCTCAATCTAGCAATTTACCCACATAAATAAAAACAGGAACCACATTACTACTGAGACAAACACAGTCACTGCAAATATCAGAATACTGGAACATATTAATATATTAACTTTCGGCCGGACGCGGTGGCTCACGCCTGTAATCCCAGCACTTTGTGAGGCCAAGGCCAGTGGATCACAAGGTCAAGAGATCGAGACCATCCTAGTCAACAAGGTGAAACCCCATCTCTACTACTAAAAATACAAAAATTAGCTGGGCCTGGTGGTGCGCGCCTGTAGTCCCAGCTACTCGGGGGGCTGAGGTAGGAGAATTGCTTGAACCCAGGAGGCTGAGGTTGCGGTGAGCTGAGATCGTGCCATTGCACTTCAGGCTAGGTAACAACACCGAAACTCTGTCTCAAAAAACAATATATATAGATATATATATATAAATTTTCACCCCAAAAAACCTGAAAGCATTTGCAGACAGCAAAAATAACTTCATTATCCTGTTGTTTGTATAATATATATCTGGAAAGATGAAAAAGAATCAGAACACTCATTTGTTAAAGGAAAGAAAATGTTGTGGACAGGAAAAAGTGGGAGGAAGACTGGTCACTGCCATTTCACTGTGCACAATCTGAATTTGGAACCATGCAAAAGTATTGTTTGGTTAAATTAAAATCATTAAAAAGATAAAAAATAAACATTGAATACCAGCACAATATGGGGAGAAACAAAATGAAAGGCTTTCTGGCCCCACAGCCACTCTTTCCCAGACTCAGGCTTTCTAGTAACGGGTTTCTGCATGAACCAGGCAGAGGATCCAGACACGGATCGTCTGACAAACACAAGGGTTCTTAGGAAGTGTTCTAAATTGTGTTTAGGATGTGTAACCCCTGTTGAGATTCATCGAGAGTGGGAAAGAGCCCAAGTGGGAAGGAGCATGGGTTGAGGGACACAAAAGTAGGTCTGTTGACAAAGAACGGAAGTAAAGGGGACATCAGGTTGAAGCTTTGTGCCATGAGCCAGAGGGAAAACTTAAAAGTTGCCTAAAGAGGTGCACACAGTCTGCGTTGCTGCCTCCAGCTGGAAGGGAACCTCAGTTCCTGCCTATTGGCTGGAGCCCTTCACAGAATGTCCCCCACCCCTAACAGTACCTGCTGCACTGCCCCTCCCCCTCTGTAGAATGTCTGGGGTCCTGTGTTCTAAACCTACTTTCAAACTTTCACTGATCCACCTTAACTCAGGAGAATCTGTTGAGGCAGGTCACTCTCTGGGTCCTGCCCTTGACTTTTCTCATTGTGAAAACTGTCAGACAGCCTGAGGGCATGGCTTCAAATGGAGGTGAGTCTGTAGGGACAGGGGCATCATCCAAGTCTCTGCCATGTTTCAAATCCTTGGGAATTCAAATTTCACACAGCCCCAGGCGTCAGTTGATAGGGCTAGTGTTGAAGAGGGAGGGAGATCTGGATGTCTCCAAAGACACCACACCTGGGGAGGGCCATGGCACCCTGAGCCTGTGGTTAGGGAGGACGGCTCCTTGGAGGTGGACCAAGATGCCTGGGGGAATACACCACATAGAGGAAAGGATGGAACGGATGTATTGATTCTTTCTAGAGGGGGACAGGTCACATCACCATGTGTTTGTAGGGAGTGATGGGATCGTGTTGTGCTGGTGGCCCAGGGAGGATGACAAGCAAGCCTGTGAGCCGTGTTGTGTCTTCAGGCACCTGGAAGGTGCCCTTCCATAGTGTTCACAGGGATTTGGACGAGAGGTTTCTGGATCTCAGGGAGGAGTGGGGAGAAGTGGTCTCAGACAGAAAGCTGTTGGGTGTGTTGGCTGTGACAGCGCATGCAGTGGCAACCTCTGCGTCGGCGAGGCTGGGGCTACTGTAACTGCCGCAGCCTCTCAGCTCCCTCCCCAGAGGTGGCTTCTCTGTCAGTTCAGGTAGCTGTTGGCTTTAACAGGGGTGGCGGCAGTTGGGGAAGTTCAGGCAACACGGCCTGGGCTTCCCAGATTGTTCTGAATTGTTCATCCTTTTGTGGAAACTCAGATCTTCAGACCCACTTCCTCTTGTCTGCTAGCTCATGGCCTGTCCTCTGCACTTTGTGTTACTGTGGAGAGGAAGAATTTGCTTCTATTCCACGTCCAGTACCTCATAAACAGGGACAGGTGTGGACTCTTGCTGGTTCTCAGTGGAAGGGTCTGGAAAGACTGGTTTCCTTTTCAGTAGAAGGAGAGCACCGCACAAATAGGAAGAGGGTCCTCTTGTTATTATTATTATTCAATTAGGATGTGTGTCCTGACTGATGAGGTGCATGTGCTGTATCCCTATCCCCCTAGACTGGAGACTGCATGAGGTCCTAGTGAACAGGGATGAGCTCCAGATAACTTTGCCACACCTGGCCTGTGGCCCAAGAACCTCTGGTTCTTGGTTGCTCTATTCAGTTACTGGGAGCTCAAAGGAAAAGGACCAGAGATGGGCTCGTTGTCCCATGACCTACTGTAACATGACCAGCAGTTGTGAAAATCCCCGGACACCTCCCCGACAGCCCCACTGCTCACCGCTTGCTGGCTGTACTGCCGCTGCTGGCTACGCAATGACGGTATCTCAGGGAACTCCACCACTGCTTCTCAGACCTGCTCCCTGGGAACAGAGCTTCCCGAGTGCCAGCCAGGACCACCGAGCACTGAGGAAAGTGTAGTCTGACTCTGACCCATGTTTAGCACTTGCTGGGCATGGTGCCAGAACAATCACTTGCACACTGGGTGTGATACGTATGGGTTATCTTCAGGGTTCACAGGGTGCTGGCTTGGGAGAGATTTCCATCCAGTGGTCTTCTTTCACCGTTTCTTTTTCAAGATGGAGTCTTCCTCTGTCACCGCGGCTAGAATGCAGCCATGCGATCCTGGCTAACTGCCAGGCGCTCTAGTGAAGCGACCCTCCTGTGGAGGAGGAACAGAGCATGCGACGCACACTCAGGGACACCTGCAAGCTGCAGAGTTTCCCTGTCACACACCCTCAGCTGTAGGACACCCCTCTGATTCCCCAGTGACTAGGGTGGACCTGGAGACCCCAGCTCATTCACCTCTTTCCTTTGTCTCCACAGCATGCCCAGTGCTGGAACCGGGTGTGACTGAGAACCCCGGGGCCATGCCAGTATCCACGGCTCTGTTCACCACACCTCCTCCTGGCCCAGCACACGGGCCACCCCTCGTGACTGCAGTGGTTCCTCCAGGCGGCCCTCCACTGCTGTCTGCCTTCCCCGGGACCCCCCTGGTGGCAGGACAGGATGGCCGCGCCCCAAACTGGACTGGGGCTTCTGACATCTTTGGCCAGATGATGACAGAAATGGGGTCTGTGAAGGTCCCTCAGGCACAGACCTCGGTCCTAACTCAGGCCCCCCTTGTCTGGCAGGCTCCAGGTGCCGTCTGTGAGGGCGTCGCATGTCCACCTCCACGACCCCTGGCAGCTGCCCCTGTGGTGCCCGCTATGGCTGCTCACATCCTTGGGGGCACCCAGGCCTGCGAGGGAGGCTGGTCCCAGGGCCTTCCTCCTCCAGCACCACCACCGGCTCCTCAGCTGGCCCCCATCATGGACCCAGGGAATGCTTGTCCATGGCCACAAGGGGCTCATGGAGAGGGAGGCCAGGCTTCCACCCAGGCCAAGGCCCAACCTGACGATTCCTGCAACCCCAAGAGCGTGTATGAGAACTTCCGACTCTGGCAGCACTACAAGCCCCTGGCCCAGAGGCACCTTCCCCAGAGTCCGGACATGGAAGCGCTTTCCTGTTTCTTCATGTGAGTGTCCTCGGGGCACCGGAGCTCATCCTGCAGCTCACCAATAAAGAGGCCACTGGATGGACGGGAGGTCACGCTGTTCAGGGGATCTTGCAGGGCGGTCTGGTTGAGCTACAGAAGGGCACATTTTCAGCAACATTAATCTGGCTGCCACTTAGGACAGACTCTCAGGGGCCTCTCACCTGCCCCTCACTGCCCCTCACCTCACCTGCCCCTCACTGTCCCATGAGTCCAGCCAATCCTTTCCTACTGGGCAGGTATTTGCAGCTTTACCCTTGATCCCTTCTAGAAAAAAAGACGATGATGCTTCATTCAGAGGATGGTGAAGAGGTGACTTGAGTCACATATGACCCATGTAGAACAGTGCCCGGCACATGCTGCGACACATTACATGACAGCTGTTATGATTACCGCCCCTATTGCTATCATTATCAGGGCTAGGCCATCTAGGACAGCGCTCTCCAAAGCCACCGGCTCCAGTGATAGCTCTGAGTGCACCACGAGCCCAGCAGCCCAGGGCGGTGGACTGTGGTGACTGAGGCAGCAATGCCAGCATGTGAGAGTTTGTTGATTCAGTCCCAGTCCTGCCTCTTTCCATCCTGCAGTGCCTCTGTGACCCTGTGTCCCCCGCGATGAGCAAACGCGTGCTCCACGGGAGTTTGAGCACATCCACCAGGCAACACACTGGCCGCTCCCCTAGGCCAATCTCCTGCCCAGGGTGTAGGTGTAAGGAGGCCCCATCCTTGTCTCAAAAAATCTTGCCACCCTGCATCCTGGAACTGGTTGCATTCTCCCTTGGAGCTGAGTCCCGGTGCACTGGAGACCCTGATTCGTGGAGTGGAGTCGCCCCAGGCTCCCAGACTTGGCATGGAGGGGGCTTCGATGACACTCTGCTTTACTTCTGGTTTCTGCTCCTCTCCAGGACCCTGAGGCTGCATCCCCAGGGGCTGCCTTGCTCCAGAGTCCCCAGGAAGCTGCTTAAATGCTCAGTCTTGGGGCCCTGGAACCTATACGTTAAACCTCACTCCCCGGTCATTCTGTGTGCGCACTGTCTCAGCCAGTTCGGGCTCTGCCATAACAAATCCTATAGACAGGGTGCTTTATCAGGACACATTCACGTCTCCAAGTTCCAGAGGCCGGAAGTCCCAGATCAAGGAGACAGCAGATTGGTGTCCTGGCTGGAGAGGGCTGCCTCTGGCTATGTCCTCTTGTGGCTAAGAGGGAGAGCCCTGGTGTCTCCTCCTGCCCTTATTGGGGCTCGGATGCCATGATGGGAACCCAGCCTCATGACCTGCTCTAACCCTGATTAACTCCAAGAACTGAAACACGGGGGCTTAGGGCTTCAGCACGGGAATGCTGGGACACTCACGATCCACCCATAGTACTGAGATCACTTGTCAACAATGTAACACTGAGGACTCGTGGGGCAGTTGGAGAAGCCAGCCGGTGGCTTGTGTTGACGATTGATCATGGGGGCATATCCCGCCCATGTGGGGGAGAACAGGACAGGGACCGGGTGTTGGGACCAGGTGGGCTTCAGATGGAGGGTGGGCTTACAGACTGGGACTGACTGCATCGCCTTACAGCCCAGTTCTCAGAGACCTGGCCCGGCAGAAGCCCAGCATGACCCTGGAGGAGGGACTGTGGCGGGCCACGCAGGAATGGCAGCACACGAGCAACTTTGACCGGATGATCTACTATGAGATGGCAGCAAAGTGAGTCTGGGATGCAAGGGCAGAGCCCACATGGCACGGTGAGAGAGGGTGACAGAGGCCCGGTGGCCATGGTGACTTCTCAGCGTGGAACATGAGAAAGGTGTGGACAAACACAGGCCCTCCTGGGCCGCTAGCTCCCTCAGGAAGCTGCTCCTCTCTCCTAGAGTGCTCTGGGGTCTCTATCCTGCCCTGGTGGGAAGCCATGCCCTGCCTGGCCTGGGGCCAACCCCTGCCTGACACTAAGGGTCAGGGAGGGAGCAGCCAGCATCACAGCCCAAAGGAGATCACACCGCCAGCTGTGAGGATGGGGAGAAGGGGCGCTGGCAACTATAGACAGAGCGGGGTGCACTCTCCTGACAGCAGTGGCCAGAGTCGGCTTTCACCCAACCCCACCTGGCCGGGAGTGGAGAAACCTGCGCTGGGTCAGGGAAGACCTGCGTCCAGGACACCATGAGACCCATCTCTGGCCTGCCTGCTTTTGCTCCTCCTAGTTCCCTCCTTTAAGACAGAAAGACAGCAGCCTCAGGGGAAAGGGGCCCTGTCTTTTTGGCCCACCTTTTGCTTCCTCCCGACCAGGGGTCTCCCAGGCCTCATCTTCCTGGGTTAGCCTTCAGGGACCCACAGTTCCAACCTCAGGACTCCTGCATCTGGGCAACTTCATGGACGCCTTGTGCCAGAAACCCCACTCCTGGCCAGCTGAAGGCTGGAGGAGTGGAAGCCATGGTGCCCTCCTGGGCCTTGTAGCCCTCACTTAAGTCAGAAAGCCCTGTTGATGCCATGGGCTCTGTAGGGGCCTGGTGAGGGAGGGAGAGCCCAGAACTCTGGGAGCAGTTCCCTCTGGGACTGGGGGATGGGCCCCAGAGAGGGCCTGGACAGCATACCAGAGGCACGCCTTCCCATCCCTGCCATCGGGTGCTGCCTGGTCCTGGGGTAAGGGGGCTTGGACCCTCTCAGCACAGCCTGCACCTTCTTCACCCCAGGTTCCTGGAGTTTGAGGCTGAGGAGGAGATGCAGATTCAGAACTCGAAGTGGATGAAGGGGCCCCAGTGCCTGCCTCCTCCAGCCCTACGGAGGCTTGAACCTCGGGGACTGTCAGCCCTTGACGTGGTCAAGGAGCCAGGTACGGCTTCCCATATTCCCACAGGAGCCACGGGAAAGGCCAGAGGGGCCAAGGGAGGCCACTGTCCCCACACCTCACGCCTCCCTTCAAGAGATTTGTTCCTTCCAACAAGACAGCTCAGGGGAGCCAGGGTGGCTGGGCTGCCCATGGTCATGAAGTGGGTATTCACCTGGTCACTTTTCCTAGCTACTCTCTCCCCTCGCCATTCCAAAACTTAACAATCTGCCCAGGAAGCAGGGGTGAGCGGGTAGAGTACTCAGCATATCAATGACCCCAAGCTTCCTCCAAAATGATGTGCTGTCTCACAAGTGCCCCTCCTATGGCGTCTCTTCCAGGGGCGCTGTGGTTCAGGTGGTCCTGACCCAGCTGGGACCCACTTCAGGTCCCTGAGCCCTGCCCTACCCTGTGTGATGCAGGCAGGAGGAGCAGACCTCACCATGCCCATCCTCCTCCCTCCCTGCCTCAGTGTACCTTCCCAGCAAGGCCGGTCCCAAGGCCCCGCCTGCCTGCCTGCCACCACCCAGGCCCCAGCAGCCAGCGGAGACCAAGGCCCACCTGCCACCACCCAGGCCCCAGCCGCCAGTGGAGACCGAGGCCCCCGAGGAGATACCCCCTGAAGTGGTGCAGGAGTATGTGGACATCATGGAGGAGCTGCTGGGGCCTCCCATTGGGGCCACGGGGGAGCTCAAGGGACAACAGGAAGAGGGCGAAGTGGAGAAGGAAGAGGACGGGATGCTTCTAGACCCAGGCATCCTGAGCTACGTCGACAATCTGTGTTCCCAGAAAGACTTCGTCACCAAGGTGGGCTGGCCTGAAGTGCTGGGGTCTGCAGGATTCCAGGGGGTGGCACTCGCAGGTCCTTGGAATTAAGCTCTGTTCCTTAGCTACTCCACAGTAGATGGATATGTGTTGCCGTCGATTTGAGGGTCTGTGTATATGATAGTGTCTGTCTTTGTATCTGTGACTGGTTACTCTGTGTCAGGGTGGCTGTGAGTGTAGAGTGTGTATGTTACTTGTGTCTATTTTCCTGTCATATGTGGGTCTGTTTGTGTGTCTGTGTGTGGTTTGTGTGTCTCTGTCTGCATGTGTGTATGCTACCAGGTCTGTGGTCTGTGTGTGGAGCTGGTGGTCGCCATGATATGACACAGCTCCAGAGGGTGGGGACAGGGCGCTCACTGCTTTCTGCATCTCCTCCAGGTGTCCTTGGCTCCACCTTACTCTCTGCCCGGGAACCTCACGCCGCGTTCCTTCTATTTCCAGGTGGAGGCCGTCATTCATCCCCGATTCCTGGAAGAATTGCTTTCCCCAGATCCACAGATGGATTTCTTGGCCCTAAGCCAGGAGCTGGAGCAGGAGGAAGGACTCACCCTTGCCCAGGTAGAGCAGGGAGGGAGGGGAACCCCGGTAACCTGGGAGCAGGAGGGACCCAGGCACACAAGCCCCACCCGATTGCCTACCCCACCCTGCGGGGGATGCTCGGCTTCTTGGGGGGCCACTCCGAGGTGGGGAGGTGCAGGTTCAGATGGAGCAGGATGGAGAGGAGCCAGAGAGGGGAGTCAGGATGCAAACTGCAGTGAGGCCCAGTGGGATGCCCGGCAGAGCCACACCCTCTGTCTTTGACAGGAAGCACAACTGCCTCAGGCTTTCCTGCCTGCCGCCCAAGTGCCTTGGTCTCCACCACCCTGGGCTGTTCACATTTGGGGAAGAGCCAGAAAATGCCCCGTTACCTCCCGCAGGTAGCAGAGAAGCGCCTCCAATCCTTGGAGGAGGAATGGCTTGAGAGGGCAGCTCCTAGTCACAGTGCCACCCAGCTGGACTCAATCTCTTCTAAGCCTGCAGCGGGCCAAGGAGCAGAGAGAGATGTCCCTGGCCCCCAACAAGGGGTCAGCATGGAAACCTGCGCACCCCAGACAGCTGCCCGGGACCCTCAGGGGCAAGGCACAGTGTGCACTCAGATGGCCAGGTCCAAAAACCCTGTTGTGCTTCTGGAGAGGCTGGATTCTCGCACGCTGAGGGCTGCCCGGCCAAACTCTCCTCCCCAGGATCACAGACCCACCCCCAAGACGGCTTCCCTGGACCCTCAGGGACGAGGCAGGGTGCACACGGGGATGGCCAGGTCCATAAACCCTGTTGTGCTCCTGGAGAGGCTGGATTCCCGCTGGCTGAGGGCTGCCCGGCCAGACTCTCCTCCCCAGGACCAGAGACCCACCTGCCCAGGTGTGGGGACCCATAACACCTGGGGTCTCCCTGGAGCCTCTCCCGTCAAGGAGTCATGCAGGCTGTCTAAGGGGTCAGGTGAGGAGGAGAGGGAAATCCCTGGTATGGTTTCTGTCGTGGGTACAAACTACAGGCTGCGGCCCTGGAAGCTGTCCCAGAGCCCTGTCCCACCCCAAGCACCCGCTCCCACCACCAAGTCCAAGAAGCGAGCTCTCTCCAGAGGCCCATCCCCTGCTGTTCAGACGCCCCACCTAAGGCCTGGGCTCAGAGTCTCTGGGGCACAGTCCCTGGCTTGGGGGCTGGGTAACCCCTCACAGTCTCGAAAGAGAAAGGGTGACCTCCTGCTCTCTAACAGGAAGAAAAAGCAGCATCGTAGCCAGTACAGAGACAGGGCAGGCTCGCTGGTGCCAATCCCCAATGGTGGGGCTCTCAACTCTCGGACCCTCAGGGCATCAGGTGCCTCAAAGCAGACTTCTCCCCCAGTGCTGACCTTACTGGGCCTTAGCTTGATGGGGGAGGGTGGGAAAGGGAAGGGTGGCAGGGAGTGGGGAGCAATACCTTGGGGGTCTCGTGTGTAAATCTGAATAAACATAGTTGTGTTGGAATCGCTCTCCGGGCTGCTGCCTCTATCCTCAGGGCTATGCTGCTCAGTGGAGGGGGTCTGTGAAGGAGTGCAGAGGGACTGGGAGATGCCAGGCACTGGGTACCCATTGGGACCGGCCCCACTCATCCCTCCAGGCGTAGGTTGCCCCTTCAGATGCTCCAGGAACTGACAGATGCCAAGGAAACCCCGATCCCACCAACCACTCACTCACAAGGCCCCGACTGCTTTAGTTATCGGCATCCCTGGAAAATCCTGGGATGTTGAGAGCTGGCTGGCTCTTGTTCTGCCCCATGGGAGCTGAGGAGAAGGCGGCTGCCTGCAACATGGACACGGAGAGAAGCGGTCACTCCTGCTTAACCCTCATCAGGAAGAGCTCAGGCCGTGGGCTGAGGGGAGATGTCGAGGCATCCATCTACATGGGTGTGTTTAGGATACGACAGTGGGTGGGGAGCAGGGGAAGTCCTTCTGCCAGTTTCTAGACAGGAAAGACTCTTGTCCAACTGGCGGAAGCAGATGCTCCTTGCTGTGGCCACAAGGGCACTTGGGGTCCTGCATGGAGCCCCCCACAGCTATGATTCCCTTCCCATATGATGACTGAACTCTGGTGTGGAATTGATGCAGACACAGATTTGAACCCAAGAGGTGGATGTTGCAGTGAGCCGGGACAGCACCATTGTACTCCAGCCTGGGCAACAAGCGCAAAACTCCACCTCAAACATAAAAATAAAAATAAACTAGCTGGGCTAATCCCAGCTGCTCCAGAGGCTGAGGCAGGATAATCACTTGAACCCGGGAGGCAGAGGTTGTGGTGAGCCAAGATGGCACCATTGCGCTCCAGCCTGGGCGGCAAGAGCAAAACTCCCATCAAAAAAAATGAAAAAAATAATCATCCAGGCATAGTGGCATGCTCCTGTAGTCCCAGCTACTTGGGAGGCTGAGGCAGGAGAATTGCTTGAACCCGGGAGATAGCCACCATCCCATCCAGCTAATTTTTCTTTATCACTTGTAACCATGGGCTTTCACTACGTTGGCCAGGCTGGTCTCACAACTCCCGATCTCGGGCAATCCACCCGCCTCAGCCTCCCAAAGCGCTGGGATTACAGGCGTGAGCCACCATGCTCGATACATCTCTTTCAATAAGCTTCTGCACAGCAAAGGAAACAAACGACAGAGCGAAGAGACAACATGCTGAATGGGAAATGATGTGTGCAAACTATTCATAATGAAGGACTAAAATCCAGAACACGTAACAAGCTCAAATAACCGACAATTAAAAACAACAAATATTCCCACTAAAAAATGGGACAAATACAAACATACAAATAGCCAACTGATATATTTAAAAAAAATGCTCACATCAGTAATCACCAGGTAAGTGCAAATCAAAACTACAACGAGATACCTACCACCTTACCACAATTAGGATATCTACTCTTAAAAATACAAACAGCAGATGCTGACATGATGCGGAGAAAAGGGAACTCTTACACACTGAGCTGGGACTAGAAATTAGTAACGTCGTCATAAAAACCAGTATGGAGATTTCTCAAAACACTAAACACAAAACTACTACATGATCCAGCAATCCCACCACTGGCTACTTAACCAACATAAAAGAAATCAGAATATCAAATCAGTATACACTCAAATGTTTATCACAGCACTACTGACAACAGCAAAGGTACGGAATCAACCCAAGTATTACCAATGAGCAGACAAGAAAAACGTGGAATATATATAAATGGAATGCTATTTAGCCAGAAAAAAACATGAAAGCGCGTAGTTTGCAGCAACATGGATGAAGCTGGAGGTCATTATGTTAAGTGAGATAAGCCAGGCCAGCCATAGAAAGAAAAACATCACACATCCTCACAGACATGTGGGAGTTAAAAACAACGACGACAACAAAAAAGTTGACCTCCTGGAAACAGAGAATACAATGACAGGTATCAGAGGCTGGGAAGGGATGGGGGTAAGGAAGAGAGGTTGGTTAATGGGTACAAACATACAGTTAGAAACAGTAAATTCTAATGTTCTATAGCAGAGTAAGGTCACCATAGTTAGGCTGGAATGCAATGGCTTTGCAATATGTTAGCAAATACATATTGTATATTTCAAAGTAGCTAAAAGAGAAGGCTAAAAACATTACCAGCACACGGAGATGATAAATCTCGGCCAGGCACGGTAGCTCACACCTGTAAGCCCAGAACTTTGGGAGGCTGAGGCAGGCGTATCACCTGAGGTCAGGGTTCCAGACCAGCCTGGCCAACATGGTGAAACCCTGTCTCTACTAAAAATACAAAAATTAGCCCAGCGTAGTGGTGCATGCCTCAATCCCAGCTTACTCCAAAGGCTGAGGCGGGAGAACTGCTTGAACTAGGGAGGCAGAGGTTACAGCAAGCCAAGATTGCACCACTGCACTCCGGCCTGGAAAACAGAGCAATACTTTGTCTAAAAAAAAAAAAGATACTCAAGGTACCCTGACTTGATCATTACACACATTCTATGCATGTATGTAACAAGTATTCATATTGTGCGACCCCTCTTGTGGACCCCTGCCCGGTACCCGATCCCAAGTAACAGCTCGAGCGAGAGTCGGAAGCCGAGTTCAGGTTTATTGGGACCAGCGGGCAGGCCAGGAAAGGAAGGAGATCGGGGCTGGCTGCGACTGCGCAGCTGGGGTAGGAGGGTTTTATAGGGGGGTGGACGGGGCGTGGACACAGGGCTGGCGGAGTGTCGTGGGGGCTTAGGATAGGCTGTCCATTTCTGGGCAGGCTGCTGAGGTGGCTCAGAGGGTTATGTATCGGTTCAGGATAGGCCGAGGCTTGGCGGGCTTTTCTGTTGCGACGATTGGCTACTTTTCGTTGCTGGGCAGAACAGAACTGGTTTGGCGGGCTTTTCTCAAGGCAGCAGGAAGCCTGAGGGGAAGGCGGGGGCAAGAGACCTGGGGGAAAGATGGCGGGGCTCTCTACCGAACATTCCCGACTCCTTAAAAAAGGAAAAGGGGGCGATGGAATCGATCTGACTACTTCCTGCTGTACAGGGGCGGAGTGGGGTTTCAAAGAGTCTGGGAAGTCGGCAGAGGGTGGTATGCGTAATTGGAATGACGAGGGGTTGGCTGTAGTAACATCTGATGGATGGTGAGCCGGGTGAGTTCCTGAAACCGGGGCTGTAGAAACTGAAAGAAACATGGGGCAACTGATAAGAGAAGGAGAAATCCTATGAGGGGACCGAGAAGGGGGAGGAGATAGGGTAGGATGCCGTTCAGCCCTCCCCATAGTGGGTTGTCGAGGAGTGCCTTTCTTCTTGCGGCTAAATTTTCTTGGAGGGTTTTTATCTTATCTCTAACAATGCCAGAGCGGTTGGCGTAGAAACAGCACTTTTCATCTAGTGCCAGGCATAGTCCTCCTTTTTCTGCGGTAAGTAGGTCTAGGCCTCGGCGGTTTTGCAGGACCACCTCAGCTAAGGAATCAAGCTGATCCTGAATAACCTGTATAGTGGATGAAAGTAAATCAACATCATTAATCAGTTGGAGGGAGAGCTGATGATAAGAATGTAAAGAATAGCCAAGTCCTGCAGCCCCTGTGGATAGGGCAGCGGTTACTCCAAGGGTAGCTAGCAGAGGAATGAACTGAATTGCCCGCTTTTTCCTGCTCACGATCACATCGAAGCTGGGAAGAGGGATGGGATCATCCCCAGAAACTATGCTGGCATCAGGAAACAAGGAGGCCACCATACATATTCCTGTCCAGTTTCGAGGTAGGTAAGAGAAGGCCATGTTGCTCCCGCAGACAAAACTTTGTCCGGCAGGGGCGTACATGCTGGAGTTGCTATTTATAAATTTGGAACAGTTACAGGAACTCGTGATTGAACCTAAGTCAATGTCATAGGAATTATTCATGAGGGGCTTTTGATAGCAAGTGACATTAGTACAGAGGTTTGACAAGGGTTGAACTGCAAAAGGAAGACGGAGAGTTCCATTGGTGCTAAAGTTAGGAATTGTAGGTAAGGCTAGAGGCATAGGTGTACCCAGAGGCATACAGATCCAGCAGTTGTTAGCTAATGAGGAATTGCTATGTAGGAGGAAACTGTGAACTGCTTTGAGGAGATTTTGGGTTTGGACATCTAAGTCTATCTGTCGAGACTTGGGTAAGGATATGGGGTGGTAAGATATGGTGGGAAACAAGGTCTTTAGGATCTCTTTAACATGGTGGGACCTCATTTGGTCATGTGGGCCTCCTCCATCACTGATACCAATGCTTGGGCTGCTTTCCCAACATGCCATTTTTCCTAAAGCCGGGCAGGGAGCAATGGCATATTTATAGGTGATGCCCAGTGGAGAGGTAGAGGCCCAGTCACCTCCAAATGAGCCACCACGTTTGCCATCAATCCAGGCTGTAAAATAGGTTTTATTATTCCTTATGCAAGTGGTGTAAGTCTTATAGCAACTGCTGTGGACAGACAGATGAATTTCTGTGGAACAGTTACAGGCTGGTTGGGGAGACCCTGGGGAAGTTGTTGCTATGGTGGGTTTGTCAACGCATTTATAGTTTGTCCTGCCGCCGTAGCCAGTATGGTAGGCTGTACGTGTTCCACAATCAACTTGACTAGTGAAGGATGAGGGCGTAGAGAGTATAATCCCTCCTTTGCATTCACAGGGCTCACCATAAACAGAATTTAAAACTTGGTTGAGATCATACTGTTGCCCAAATCCACTACGAACTGTGGATAAGAGAGTGGAAATTACAGCGAGTAGGGGCCACATGTTGGCTCGGGGTTGGAGAGGTTGAATAGGTCAGAGTTTTTGTATTTTGAGTGATAGGGGATCTGTGGGAACGCACTCCCAACGAGGTTTAAAGGAGCCACTTGGACACTTCTTGTACCCAGGATGGGATCTGAGCAACCTTGATAGCCGTGGGGGTGGTTAAAATGACAGTGTAGGGCCCTTCCCACCGAGGTGAGAGGGGTTTTGGAGTGAGGGTTTTAATGAAGACAGAGTCACCAGGGGCAACTTTTCCCAGAGTGGGTGGAATCTCTGAGGTCTGGGGTATGGAGGCGTTGGCGTGTTCCCTGAGTAAATGTCTGAGGAGAGTAAAATAGGGGAGGTAGGTATTCAAGGGGGAACTTTCCGGAGAAGGTGGAGTAGATAGCAGGAAGGGTCGCCCGTATAGGAGCTCGAATGGGCTGAGCTGTGAAGCTCCTCGGGGGCGGGCCCGCAGCCTGGCAAGAGCTAATGGCAGCAATGAGACCCACGACTGCTTGAGCTCGAGAGAGAGTTTGGTAAGTTGATCCTTGATTAGTCCGTTGGCCCGTTCTACCTTACCCGACGACTGGGGGTGGTAGGCCGCATGCAGTTTCCACTGAATCCCTAAGGAAGCACAGACAGCATTAGTAACTTTGGAGACAAAGGCCGGGCCGTTGTCTGACTGAATAGTGGCCGGGAGCCCAAACCGAGGGATGATGTCCTGGATGAGGTGGGCAGCAACAGTGTCGGCGGACTCCGAAGTAGTGGGAAAAGCTTCGATCCAGCCTGAAAAAGTATCAACAATGGTTAACAGGAACCGAAATTTCTTATGTCTTGGCATGTGAGTAAAATCAATTTGCCAATCTTGTCCTGGTAAGGATCCACACAAGATGACAAGCCCCTTGCGGGTTGGTTTTCGCACAAATGGGGCATTGAGCATGGACCTGGTGAATAAGGGAAGGGAGCCCTTCTGGATGTAATATGGGTAGGAGGAAGTGGAGTAGGGCCTTTGGCCCGATATGCAAGGAATCATGGATGTCCTTTATGATGGTAGTTTTTTGTGCTTGGGGAAGTATCAGAAGATTGTGGTTGAAGGCCCATCCATCCCTAAAGGTCACTTCAGGATTTTGCTGTAAAAGTTCGAGCTCAGAGTCGGAATACTGTGGTTTGTAGCAGCGTGACAGGAAGTAGATCTCCTTTGGGGGTGGGCAGGTTTGTGCAGAATCTCTGGCCGTCCTGTCTGCAAAAGCATTACCTAGGGCTACTAGGGACCCTGAGGTTTGGTGTCCCCGGCAGTGAATGATGGCAACCTGCTTTGGGAGCTGGATGGCAGAGATGAGATCAGCTATGAGTCTCCCGTTAACTACCGGGGTGCCTTTAGTGGTTAAGAATCCTCTCTCCTTCCAGATCATACAATGGGAGTGGGCAATAAGGAAGGCATACTTTGAGTCTGTGTAGATGTTGACAGTTTTGTCTTTGGCCCATTTGAGAGCCCGGGTAAGGGCGACTAACTCAGCCTGTTGTGAGGTGGTTCCTAGGGGAAGGGAATGAGTCTCAATGACGTCTGAAGGAGTCACTATTGCATATCCAGCAATACGGGGTTTTCCTGGGCGTAGGAAGGAACTCCCATCTACAAAAAGCGTCGCTTCGGCCTCGATAGGAGTGGAATGTAGGTCAGGCCGTGGGGATTGAGTTTCAATAATAACCTCGAGGCATCGGTGATCTTGTGTTGGAGCGGTTGGGGAAGGGAAAAGGGTGGCTGGGTTAAGAGCAGGACAGTGAGAGAGGGAAATGTCGGGGTTTTCCAGGAAGAGGAGGTGTAGGAGTTGGGCCTTGGACAGCCTGAGGTGTGGTAAGGCCTGACTAGACACGAGCTCCTGCAGTTTGTGAGGGGAGAATACTGTGAGTGGTTGCTGGAGGTTGATCTTAAGGGCCTCTGTAGTAAGTGCGGCGGCTGCTGCTAAGGCTCGAAGGCAAGGCGGCCACCCTTTTTCTGTGGGGCTGAGTTGTTTGGAAAGGTATGCTAGTGGAAGGAGGGTGTTGCCGACCGGCTGAGCCAGGACTCCTACCGCGATGTGGGCTTTCTCATCCGTATACAAATGAAAAGGAAGATTAGGATTGGGTAGAGCAAGAAAGGTGGAAGCGCATAGCGTTTGTAGGAGCGCATGGAAGGCTCGGGTCACTGCTCCCTGTGAGGTAAGTGGGCCTTCAGGAGTATCTGCAGCTGCTTGGTAAAGTGGCTTGGCTAAAAGAGCAAAGTTGGGCACCCAGTGTCGGAAGAATCCCACTACCCCCAGGAAGGAGAGTATTTCAGTGGCAGACTGAGGAGGTTGGAGGGCTTTCAGAGCCTGCAGTCGGTCGGGGATAATGGATTTCTTCCCCGGGGAAAGCTGTAGGCCCAAGTAAATGACTGATGAGGTAACGAGTTGGGCCTTCTTTCTTGAAACTCTATACCCTTTATCTCCTAAAAAGTTGAGCAGGACAGTAGTGGCTCGGGTGCACTCTTCCTGGCTGGGGGAACAGACGAGTAGGTCATCAACATACTGAAGAACAACAGATGGGGCTAGGCGGCAGCCTAGAAGGTCTGTCGCCAGGGCCTAACCGAACAGGTGAGGGCTATCCCTGAAGCCTTGGGGAAGGACTGTCCAGGTGAGCTGACAAGAGTTGTTAGTGAGTGGGTCCTCCCAGGTGAAAGCGAAGATGAAATGGGAATTTGGGTGTAAGGGAATGGTAAAGAAGGCGTCCTTGAGGTCAAGGACTGAGAAGAAGGTAGTATCGGAGGGAATTCTAGAGAGTATGGTGTACGGGTTTGGGACTACAGGATGTATAGGAACTACTGCAGCATTGACTAGTCGGAGGTCTTGAACAAGGCGGTATTCTCCTGAGGGTTTTCGGACTGGGAGGATGGGAGTGTTACATGGGGAATTGATGGGTATTAGGAGGCCGCGGCTTTTCAGCCTTTCAATGATGGGGCGAAGTCCTAGGCGGTGTTTCTTGGAAATAGGGAACTGAGGCCGACAGAGAAATCGAGGGGAGTGTTCCTGGAGACAGATCCTAACTGGCTTGTGGTGCGTAGCTACTATAGGTGTGTCCGTCTCCCATACCTTAGGATCTACTTCGGGGAGGAGAATGTCTGGGGAAGCATAGTCTGAGTTGAAGTTAAGATGGTGAGCCACTAACAGGAGGTGTTGGGGAGAGGCCGGAAAAGTAATGTGGGCTTTGAGTTTTGTCAGGATGTCTCGCCCCAGCAGAGGCACAGGGCAAGACGGAATTATGAGGAAAGAATGGCTGAATGGGACTGAGTTATACATACAGGTGAGCGGTGGAGTTTGGCGTGGGGTGTGTGCAGCCCCATCGATTCCCATAACAGAGACCTGGGAGAGTATGGTCTGGCCTTGGAAGGAGGGAAGTACAGAGTAGGTAGCCCCCGTATCGAGCAAAAAGGAGACGCTTTTTCCCGCTACCTGAAGTGACACCCTAGGCTCGGCGAGGGTCACTGGGGTCGACGAGCCTGGGCCCCCCTAGTCGTCTAAAAGCCCCAGTAGCTCGGGGTATGAGTGATCAGGTGAGCCAGACTCCCGAGTAGAGGGGTCGGGGCTGGCCCCCCTGAAGAGGTACCCCTTGGTCCAGTACCTCGGCTTGCATTGGCCGGGGTCCTGGATCCCTGGGGACACTCTGATTTCCAGTGGCCACTGAGCTGGCAGAGGGGGCAGGGCCTGGTGGGCGGCCGTGGCTGTGGACAGGCTCGGGACCAATGTCCTTCTTTGCCACATTTGAAACATGCCCCTGGCGGGGGCTTGGAGCGGCTGTCTGGACCCCTGACTCCTGCCACCAGGGCTTGAGTTTGGGCTGCCGCTAGGGCTTGGGCCTGCAGCGCAACCTTTTGCTTTAATCGAGCTTGGCGGGCAACCTCAGCTGCATCTTCCCTGGCGTTATAGACTTTAAAAGCCATCTTAACCAGGTCTTGTATGGGGGTCTCTGGGCCTTCTTCAGCTTTCTTAAGTTTTTTTCGAACGTCAGGCGCAGATTGGGAAATGAAGTGGGAAGCTAAGATAGTAGCCCCATTTTGGGAGGCTGGGTCTAGTCGGGTATAGCGGACAACGGCTTCCTGAAGACGGTTGAGAAAGAGGGCAGGGTTCTCATCTGGCTGCTGGGTGACCTCTCTTAGCTTATCATAGTTAACAACTTTATTGGATACCGCTTCTAACCCACGCAGCAGGTATTGAAGCATACGGTCCCGGGCCGGAATGTGGGAGCTGGCCCCATCCTGATATACCCATTGGGGATCTGTAGTGGGAATGACTTCTGTACCTACTGGAACTTGGCTTGGGTTTATGGCATGATCCCTATCTGCTTGATGCCTGGCTGCCGCTAGGACGCGTTCATGCTCCTCGGCAGAGAGGGTCGATGTACAGATGACTCGAATGTCTTGCCAAGTGAGACTATAGGCCTGGGTGAGATACTCAAACTCCTTAATGTACGTGGAGGGGTCAGCCGAGAAAGACCCAAGGCGGCGCTCAATTTGAGCTAGGTCTTGGAGAGAAAAAGGGACATGAACCTGGACAAGGCCCTCCGCCCCGGCTACCTCCCGTAGGGGTGCTATGACAGAGGGAGGCGCTGAAGTCTTGGTACGGGTATGGGCCGCCACGGGGGAAGAAGGGGGAGAGCAGATGGGAGGAGGAGCGGTCGGGGGAGTAGCGGAAGGCGTAGGTGGAGAGGAGGAAGAAGGCACAGTGGGAGGAGGCACAGAGGGAGGGGGGTTAGGTGGGTCGGTGACTTCCGGAGTTGGAACAAAGGGGGAAGACAAATGGTCAGGCATCTCTTCCTGCATGATATATGGAGGTGGTTTGGTTGAGGTGGTAGGGGTCTGAGGTAGGGTGGTTTGAGCTAGGAGGACCTGGTGAGTAGAGCAAGTGGAACAGAGGTCAGGGTGGGAACGCAGGTCCCAAAAAGCCTGAACATAAGGCACTTCCTTATCTTTGCCAGTTCGGCGGCAGAAGTTATCTAGGTCGCGAAGCACATTGAAATCGAAAGTGCCGGTGGGAGGCCAATGCGACCTGTTATCGAGCTGATACTGGGGCCAGGCCACCTGGGAGAGGAAGATAAGCTTTTTTCGCCTAAGGGTTTGGGAGTAGCCCAAACGAGTGAAATTGAGAAGCAAACAACCAAGTGGGGTGTTTTTTGGAATTTTGGACTCCACGTTCCCCATGGTGCGCGCGGCGAAGGATTCCTGCCAGTCAAGGGAGGTCTCGGAACAATATGCGAGCTCGGAACAGTATCCGAGTGGGCTGGGGTAGTGTGGGGGAGGCGTCCCTCCAACCCACCAGCTACTCCAGAGGGAGGCGGATAGGAAAAGATCAGAGAAGGCGTCCCCTGTCTGATCATTCCTATTTATTCGGATTTGGGTGGGTCAGAGAAGGCGTCCCTTGTCTGCCGACCCAAGGCTCCTGGAGCCTGGTTGGGGGATCCTGCTCGGGCCGGCCGGCGCTTGGCGAGGGATCCGCGGACGGGGACTGAGAGGAAGGGCCTTTGCCACACGCACCACGGAAGGAGAAGGTAAGAAACAGGACTTACCTGGTCCGGAGTGCTGAGGCCGAATTGGAGGAGGGCTGGAGAGGTCGCTGGAGGGAGGGGGTCGCTAGGGGGGCTAGCGACCCTCGCTCCCGGGTTTCGGCACCAAATGTGCGACCCCTCTTGTGGACCCCTGCCCGGTACCCGATCCCAAGTAACAGCTCGAGCGAGAGTCGGAAGCCAAGTTCAGGTTTATTGGGACCAGCGGGCAGGCCAGGAAAGGAAGGAGATCGGGGCTGGCTGCGACTGCGCAGCTGGGGTAGGAGGGTTTTATAGGGGGGTGGACGGGGCGTGGACACAGGGCTGGCGGAGTGTCGTGGGGGCTTAGGATAGGCTGTCCATTTCTGGGCAGGCTGCTGAGGTGGCTCAGAGGGTTATGTGTCGGTTCAGGATAGGCCGAGGCTTGGCGGGCTTTTCTGTTGCGACGATTGGCTACTTGTCGTTGCTGGGCAGAACAGAACTGGTTTGGCGAGCTTTTCTCAAGGCAGCAGGAAGCCTGAGGGGAAGGTGGGGGCAAGAGACCTGGGGGAAAGATGGCGGGGCTCTCTACCGAACACATATGAGGCCGGGCATGGTGACTCACGCCTGTAATCCCAGCTCTTTGGGAGGCTGAAAGGGGTGGGTCACCTGAGGTCAGGAGGTCAAGACTAGTCTGGCAACCATGGTGAAACAAAATCTCTACTAAAAATACAAAATATTAGCTGGGTGTGGTGGCACATGCCTGTAATCCCAGCTACTCGGGAGGCTGAAGCAGGAGAGGGCTTCAATCCGGGAGGTGGAGGTTGCAGTGAGCTGAGATCCTGTTATTACACTCCAGCCTGGGAAACAAGAGCAAAACTCCATCTCAAAAAAACAAACAAACAAACAAACAAAAACAAGTATTCATCATATGTATCCCACAAAGATGTAAAATAGTATGCATTAAAAAAGGAAAAGACTGCTAGGAATTTAGCAATGTATTTCTATGCAAAGGCTTAAAGCAGATATATAACATGTCAACATAAATGAGAACATAGAGTTACACAACTTGCTTCTCTTACGAAATGTTACATTTTCCCTGTAATACAGTAAGCCCTGGGCCCTCTTATCCCTTGGCTCCACTTCTTCTTCTTCTTCTTTTTTTTTTTTTTTTTTTGAGAGAAGGAAAGAAAAAAAAAGGAGTGAAGGAGAGGAAGAAAGAGGAAGAAAAAGAGGGAGAGAGAACGGAAATGTTGCTTTCTTCTAAAAAAATGGGTATTAATAATGGCCAATCAGTATTTCATTTAAACCTATGAGTAGGTGTGATGTGGTATTGACAAGAATATATATTTTGTGTATTTAAAGTGGAGAGCTCTATAAATATTTATTAAGTTTACTTGTTCCGGATCTGAGTTCCAGTCCAGGATATCCTTATTAATTTTCTGTCTCATGGAGTCTAAGTCTCTATGTATCTGGGTGTTAGGATCGTTAGCTCTTATTGTTGCATTGATTTTTTTACCACTATATCTTTGTTGCTTTAAAATCTATTTTATCAGATACGAGAATTGCAACTCCTGCTTTTTTATTTATTTATCTTTGCTCTCCATTTGGTTAGTAGCCTTGACTCCATTTCTGTGGATTCAACTAACCTCACATTTTTAAAATGTGGTGGACCCGTCACAAGTTTAACCCAACCCTGACCTCAGAGTCTTCATAAATGCTCACTGAAGAAAATTTCCAGGATGACTCCAGGACCTCTCTTCTGCTCAGAAATGTCAGTAAAGAAGCTTAGCAACACGACTTTCAACCCTAGTACCAAATTCCCCCCTTGCCTTCTACCAGAAGATTCATTCCAACAACTGGATAGAAGAGAATCTTCCAGGACATCAGACATGGCTTGCCTTAGGAGTAGGCGAAGTAAGAACACTGCTATCTATGCACAAAGAAAACAGGGTAAAACTGAGATACCTGTTACTCAACAGATTTCCTTGGCTTGAAAAAGAACTAGTAGACACTGGCCTAATGGGAGTTCAAAATGCATCAAGAAGAGAACTATTCAAAGGTGGCTGCAGTTTCTGTGTGGATCATAGCCTGAGACTGCTACAACAGGGAATCATGACACCAAGCCAATTCAACCACTAACTATTATTCTTGTACTTTTCTTGCTGGTAATTTACGCACCAGGTTGAGAAAGCTACTCAATGCTAGGATGGCCTGTATACCAATAATCTTGATAAGAGTTCTGTGATGTCTTTTCTGTTATCTTTTCCTTTCTACCATGATACCAGTAATTTATAAGACACCTATGTGTAGCTTGAATGTGTTTGAGTAACTTCAACATACCTTAGCTCTCCTCTCTGACGTGACCCGAAGAGCCAGTAAGTAGGTCCTAAGATTACCATGTGTGCCAGAAGCCTGAAGTCAGTGAGATGAAGCCCAACATCAAGAATGGGAGTAAATCAACTTGTGGGGCAAGAATGTAAAGAAAACATTGGGTGGTTTGGCTACAGTATAATTAAACTTTCTTGTTTTCAAAAGTTTGAACTCCAATAAAAGCACTTTCAATGTGCTATTTTTGCAATTTTCAGTAACAAATGTGTGTATAAGGAAACAATGAAACTGACATATTCGAGTAACATTAAAAATTTTTTTTTCTTTTAAAAAAAAAAAAAAAGGCTGCAAGATGAATCAGTTATGTGGCTTTGGCCCAGTACGGAGTGGAGCTCAATTTCAACCCAGATGCTTCTGACTTGGAAGGCCATTCTTCCAAGCATCTTTTTTCTAGTATGGTAGGTATACATTCTGACTCCAGGTCTAATTCCAGAGACTAAACTGTTTCACAATACCATGTCTTCTAAACTGAACAAAATACTTGCACAAAATAGTTGATTCTCTTCTTGCAATTTCTTTTCATTCAGGAAAAGGGAAAGAACACACATTTAATCAGGCATCCAATAAATACAAACAAATACAGTGTTAACATTTAAATGCTTTCTCAGAAAATATTATTTTAAATGATAAACCAAAAGAATGTATATCTAACACACCAGAAAAAAGATGCTAGCAATTAAGGAGTGCAACCATTAACGCTGTAACTACGTGCAATCAGGTAAGTCACTGGGAAGTGAAAACCACCTACATTTCTTCCAATTAAAACCAAATTAATAACTGTCATCTTATAAATATGATAGCCAATGTGAGACACTACCCACAAAATGCAGAGGGGCACAGACAAGTCGCAGCAATGTCATGACTGCTAAGTTCACAAGTAAGGGAGACACACCATTTTCTGAGATATACTGTAAGGACACCAATGACCAACAAACATATGGCATTGCAATGGCTGTTTCAGGAAACATCCATTTACACTGTTTCCTGGATTTCTGGCATAAGAACATGACTGAAGACATATACCGGCCCTACTACCTTGACAATTCATAACCATTTTAACAGTTACCATTTTGCTACACAGAAGATTATAAAGAAATTGTATTTTTCATAAGACTCTACGACCTACTTCCTGTAACTCTGACCTGCACATATCGTACAACCTTAATATATAATTATCAAATCTGATAACCAACGTTCTGTAAATTACCAGCTATTACAGTATTTTGGTGTTTGCCTGTTAACCAAGTTGAGGTGGGGGGGGGCGGGTTGGAGGAAGCCTCATTTCACCTGCCCTTTCCAAAACTTCACTTCAAGAGTGTTCAAAAACTCACTATGCCCAGGTAGAAATCTCCAAGTTCGTCTAGTTTTCACTGCTTAACAAAAGCGATGTAGAAAGCAATTACTGTACCCTCCATCAATCTTTTCAAATTGCACAGAATTCCTTCCAGAAAATTCCAATAGAAAAAAAGGTATTCCCGTTTTAGTATGAACGTCATCTTTCGCACAAGTCACTGGAGAGTGAAAGCCTTTAAAACATTTAAATGTTCCTGGTATTGCTTTCTGATGAACGCGATAATCCATATTTACCAAGATTAAAAACACTTCCACCACGTACGGCAAATCTCTCCAAAAACACAAAATCGAATTCAAAAATTACAAACAAAAAGAGAAATGTAAAAACACTTGCATAAACTTTGAAATGTGTATGGGTTGACATTACTCAAGCCATCATTACTCAAAAGAAACCTCTGTAAAATCGAGAACGCACAATCAATGCAGTAAGATGCCGGAGAAAGCCAAACCGGAGGGGATGCGCAGTCCCGCATTGCAAATTTCAACACATTCGGCCCGGCGCGGTGGCTCACGCCTGCAATCCCAGCACTTTGGGAGACCGAGGCAGGTGAATCACGAGGTCAAGAGATCGAGACCATCCTGGTCAACATGGTGAAACCCCATCTCTACTAAAAATACAAAATATTAGCTGGGCATGGTGGCGCGTGCCTGTAATCCCAGCTACTCGGGAGGCTGAGGCAGGAGAATTGCCTGAACCCAGGAGGTGGAGGTTGCCGTGAGCCGAGATCGCGCCATTGCACTCCAGCTTGGGTAACAAGAGCGAAACTCCGTATCAAAAAAAAAAAAAATTTCAACACATAGATTCCTAGAGGTCACTCACTAAGGAGAAGAAAAGTGCGTGGCTCTCTCTAGAGCACCCAAGTTTCGCCGCGCACCATCAGGAAGAGGGTTGCGCCGGCGCGAGGACCGGCCGGTGGGCGTTCCGGCAACCCACAGCTTGCAAGGACCACGGCCATCCCCCGGGCCTAGGAAGGGTGGCCCAAGGGCAGGCCCGCGTCCCCGGGGTGACCCAACCCGCACCTCCCCACGCCCCGGGATTATGCAACTCTCCCCCTCTCCGCCCGCATGCTGGCGCAGCGCCCCCTCCCCGCGCCCAACCGCGCAGCGCCATCGCCCCGCCCGCTGGCCTCGCATCTCTGCTTCAAACAAAGCGCGCGCTAAGAGGCCGGCAGCGGCCAGAAACTGGGGACAGGAGGGGGGCGGCCATGTTGGCGCGGGGCGGCGGAGATGTGGTGACGGAGGAGTACGGGCCGGCGAACAAGGAGCGCGTGCCCGCCCCGAGGCCCATGCCCGACCCGACCCGGTTCCCGCAGCGCCCCGGCCGGCACGGGGCGCGGTGTCGGCGCCGCCCGAAGGACAATGCTCCGCCGGGCCCCGCGCTGGCCGCGCTTACCTGCGCCCCCTGCCAGGCCGCCGCACCCCTGGCCCGCCCGCAACCTGCACCCTCTCACGGGCCTGCACGACCCCCGCTCGCCCCGCGCGGACCTTACCTGCTAGCCGCTGATGCCGCCGTCGCTGGTTAGCGCTCTCGCCGGCCCCAGGCCGAGCCAGAAGGCCCCCGTCCCCGCCCCCTTGCCACGAGCAGCGCACCGCACCTGACGAACTGCAACAGCCACCCAGGCGCAGGGCGCCCACGGCCCACTACGCAGGCGCGGTGGAGCGGGGAGGAGGAGTTGGTGGAGCGGGGCAAGGCGGGGCGCTGGAGGGGGCGGCTAAGGCGGGGCCGGAGCTCGGGACTTCCGGGTGCGCGCCGGGAATGGGCGTCGGTAAGCGCCCAGAACCCTGTAAGCCTGAGGGGGCGCGGCTTCTCCCGGAGGGCAGGCAGCCGGAGAAGGGCTTCGTTTTCGCCCAGTAGGACTTTCAAGAAAGGACAGGGCCGGGCGCGGTGGCTCACGCCGGCAGTCCCAGCACTTTGGCAGGCCGAGGCGGGTGGATCACGAGGTCAAGAGATCTAGACCATCCTGGTCAACATGGTGAAACCCCGTCTCTACTAAAAATACAAAAAATTAGCTGGGCATGGTGGCGCGTGCCTGTAATACCAGCTACTCGGGAGGCTGAGGCAGGAGAATTGCCCAGGAGGCGGAGGTTGCGGTGAGCCGCCATCGCGCCATTGCACTCCAGCCTGGATAACAAGAGCGAAACTCCGTCTCAAAAAAAGAAGAAGAAGAACAGACCCCAGGAGCGCTCACGCACAGAGGGATGATCGCGTGCAGAGGCAGCAAGAAGGCCGCCATCTGCAGACCAAGGAGAGAGGCCTTGATGGAAAGCAACCCTGCCAGGCAGCAGGGCGAGCTGGGACTTCCAGTCTTCAGCACTGTGAGAAAATAACTGTGCTACCTAAGCCACAGTCTATGGTCTTTTGCTATGGCTGTTCCAGCCAACAAATATAGCATCTTCCCTGCACACCTAAAGAGTTCCTGGGAAGAGGCCCATGTGCCTGGCTTGGGTCACGTTGTGATATAGCTGGCCTAGAATTAGAACCAGTACAATGCCATTTTAAAATGGGAAAACTGTTTCCATTCTCCTCACAATGACTGCTAGCCATGGCTTCTGTAAACTACTAAGATTACCTTGCAAAATGCAAAGAGAGGACAAGCTGCATACTTTCTCTTATCTGTAACTGCCAGAATTGTTGGCCTTTGTTTATCAAAGTAAGCACCCCCAGATAATTCCATCCTGGCGCCAAGTAACCTAAAATTATGTGGACCCCACACCTGTCCAAATAATGTATAAACTAATGTTTATCTTGACCTCTGTAAACCACTTAAGTGGCAATCGGAATGACAAAAGTCCCCTGGCCCTTGGAATGCCTGGAGCCCCCTCACCCTCGTCTCAGCCTAGGAGGTGATTGATAGCTTTCATTCCCATCTCCGCTCCTCACCCCCACTCCCAAGGTGGTTTTGTGGGTATAAAAAGGTCTTGTCACTCTTCTTTCGGGGCCACGGGTTGGAGAGAGGTGAGTCCTCCGTGGTTGCCGGCAATAAACCCTGCAATTTGGCATACTTTTGTTCTGGTGTTGACTTTCTGTGCTAAGTTCAATGCAACAATGTCCCATCTGTTACCAGTTCCCGCGGCCACCAGATGCTGAGCTCTAATTGGCCAAGGGCTCATCTCAGCCCACCAACCTGGGTTCACTTTTCCTGGTTTGGTTAAAGACTTTAATTTAAAGCAAGTGAGAACTGGATGCAGTGGTTCACTTCTATAATTCCAACCCTTTGGGAGGCTGAGATGGAAGGATCACTTCAGTCCAAGAGTTCGAGACCAGCCTGAGCAACATAGCAAAACCTCATCTCTACAAAAAACATTTAAAAATTAGCCAGGTGTGGTGGCACGCACCTGGGGTCCCAGCTACTTGGAAAGTGGAGGTGGGAAGATCACTTGAGCCTGGGAGATCAAAGCCGCAGTGAGCTGGGATTGTGCCACTCCACTACTCTCTTTTAGGCAGAATGAGACCCTGTCTAAAAAATAAAAGAAAGGAAGGAAGTGAAGTCAGGCCTGTGGCTACGTGTTTTTTTTTGTTGTTGTTCTTTGTTTGTTTTTTGAGACAGAGTCTTGCTCTGTCACCCAGGCTGGAGTGCAGTGGTGTGATCTCGCCTCGCTGCAACCTCTGCCTCCCAGGTTCAAGCAATTCTCCTGCCTCAGCCTCCTGAGTAGCTGGTAGTACAGGCCGTGCCACCATGCCTGGTTAACTTTTTGTACTTTTAGTAGAGACAAGGTCTCACCATGTTGCCCAGGTTGGTCTTGAACTCCTGGCTTCAAGCGATCCTCCCACCTTGGCCTCCCAAAATGCCAGGATTATAGGCGTGAGCCACCGTACCTGGCCCAGGGTTCTGTTCTAAGACACACATCCTTCTTGTGGCGTGTCCTTTCTTCACTTACACGCTTGCTGTTTCTTGTTCCTGTGTAATCTGTCACTTTGCGGCACTTCCTTTTCCTCTGTGTTGACAGAGCCTGGCTTGTTCAGCCACTTCGTTGTCCTCTGGCGGTTTGATTTCCTTCCATGTTATTGCTATTATGTGTTACATAGCGATGAACTAGCCAGAACACTTTGTTACTTATTCCCCGGGCCGCTTCCTGGTTCTGTAATCTTCCTTAACTGTTCACATTTCTATTGATTTTTAGCCAAACTCCGGGGTTCACAAACTATGGCCACCGGCCTGTTTTTCTAAATAAAGTTTTATTGGAATGCCTGTTTGTTTACATGTTATCTGGGGCTGCTTCAGCTATGGGGGCAGAACTGAGAAGCTGAATAGCCGAGTGACAGAGACTACAGATGGCCCCTGTGAGAGCAGGAAAAGTAACTGTTTTTCCTCTGTTCTCACACTACAACAATCAACACAGAAGACTTTTTTTTTGTGAGACAGAGTCTCACTCTGTCACCCAGGTTAGAGTGCTGTGGTGCAATCTCAGCTCACTGCAACCTCCGCCTCCCAGGTTCAAGAGATTCTCCCTCTTCAGCTGCCAGAGTAGTTGGAATTATAGGCAGCTGCCATCACGCCCAGCTAATTTTTGTATTTTCAGTCAAGACAGAGTTGCACCATGTTGGCCAGGCTGGTCTCGAACTCCTGATCTCAAGTAATCTGCCCACCTCAGCCTTCCAAAGTGTTGAGATTATAAGGGTGAGCCAACTCTATGGCCAAATGTGTGTGGGTTTTTTCCCAAGCACCAAGCAGTGGATACCAGCAGGGTATCCCCCCATTCCACTCTGCTGCTATCTACCTGAAGATAGAGGAATTCGGAGGAATCTGTGAGGCATTCACAAAGCAGAAATGATAATGATATAGGCCAGGCATGGTGGGAGGCCGAGGCAGGCAGATCACTTGAGGTCAGGAGTTTGAGACCAACCTGGCCAACATGGTGATACCCTGTCTCTACTGAAAATACAAAAAATTTAGCGGGCATGGTGGCACACACTTATAATCCTAGCTTCTCAGGAAGCTGAGGCAGAAGAATTGCCTAGCCTGAGCAACAGAGAAAACTTTGTCTCAAAAAAGAAAAAGAAATAATAATCATATAATAAACATGGGGCTGTGACTGTTCTGTTAGATCATGCTCTGTAATTAATATATGCCATAATTCTCCAATGACACAGTAAATGCATTATGAAAATATTTATGATCTGCATTAGTTTTACATAAACATGCAAGAGTCTAATTCTGTTTGTTGTTGTTTTTGAAACAGGGCCTCACTCTGTCACCCAGGCTGGAGAGCAGTGGTGTGATCATGGCTCACTGCAGCCTCCATTTCCTAAGCACAAGCAATCTTCTCACCTCAGCCTCCCAAGTAGCTGTGACTACAGGAGTACACCACCATGCCCAGATAAAGGAGTCTGATTCTAGATACCCAAACTTCCCCTGCTACCAAACTACCTCCTGATTATGATGGGGGAATTCTGAAGCAGCTCATTTCTACTCCTTTCCTCCTCCTCCTTCCCCCTCACCTTGTACCACTTCTGACACTGACTGACAGCTACATGGGATGTGGGAGGGGGACACAGATGGAGACATCCTTTCTCAAGCTGCATTCAGTCCCATGATTTAAATGACCAGCCTGTCAGTGATTGGTGGATGGAATTTATAAGCCATGAGCATAAAGTCACAGCTCATAAACAGGTGATTCGTAAACAGGTTCTGGGTAGAAAAAAATACACTCATCCAAGTGCTTTTCTGGTTCTCTCATTCAAGAACAATCAACACAGAAGTCTTCTGTGAGCAGATGTGGGGAGGGGGATTTCCCACACACCAAGCAAGCAAGTAGTTCTGTATGGACACCACCTGGGTGTCCTCCAATTCAATTCCATTCTGATACTCTTTGCCCAGAGACAGTGTCATATCCCACAGGTTGAGGCCTCAGTCCCCATGACTGTACGACCTCTGATGCCAATCAAAAGCCCCAGGTTGAGACTTGTGCTTCTGGCCAACCAGTTCTGAATTGGGGTTCCCACAACTCCCCTGTGGGTTTAACTGATTTGTTAGAATGGCTCACAAAACTCAAGGAAACACTCTCCTTATGTTTATTGGTTTGCTGTTAAGGATATTGCAAAGGATACAGATGAAGAGCTGCATAGGGCAAGGCATGTGGGAAGGGACTTGGAGCTTCCATACCCTCCCCAGGGGCACCACCCTTCAGGAACCTTCATGTGTTCAGCGATCTGGAAGCTCTCAGAACCCAGTCCTCTAGAGTCTTTTATGGAGACATTATTGAATAGGTATGATTGAGGACAACTGTGTAGAAATGTAACTGGACAAAAGGGGAATGATCTAATACTAACAGACTAAGTAGGGAAACCCAGCAAAGCTCAGCTGTTGAGGTCTTTCTTGGCTCTCCATGGAGCATTCCTTTATCCAGGGTGTGGGACAGGACTCCGTCTGCAATGAGGATCTTATGACCCACAATCAGATTCGAGTCCCACCTTGGGCTGGAAAAATTCAGAGAGATCCTCTTTCTCAAGGCCTGCTTCTGAGGCCTAAAGACTCAACATTATAAGGTCAGGTGCGGTGGCACATGCCTGTATTCTCAGCACTTTGGGAAGCCAAGGTGGGTGAATCACCTGAGGTCAGGAGTTCGAGACCATCCTGGCCAACATGGCGAAACCTCATCTCTACAAAAGATACAAAAATTAGCTGGGTGTGGCGGCACATGCCTGTAATCCCAGCTACTCTAGAGGCTGAGGCAGGAGAATAGCTTGAACCTGGGAGGTGGAGGTTGCAGTGAGCCAAGATGGCACTACAGCCTGGGTGACAGAGCAAGACTCTGTGTCAAGAAAAGAAAAAGAAAGAAGGAAGGAAGGAAAGAAAGCAAAGAAGGAGGAAGGAAGGAGGGAAAGAAAATAAGAAAGGAAGGAAGGAGGAAAGAAAGAAAGAAAGGGAAAGAAAGAAGAAAGAAAGAGAGAAAGAAAAGGAAGAAAGAAAGCTGGCCAGGCATAGTGGCTCACACCTGTAATCCCAGCACTTTGGGAGGCCAAGGCAGGTGGATCACGAGGTCAGGAGTTCAAGACCAGCCTGACCAACATGGTGAAACCCAGTCTCTACTAAAAATACAAAAATTAGCCAGGCATGGTGGCGCATGCCTGTAATCCCAACTACCTGGGAGGCTGAGGCAGGAGAATCTCTTGAACCGGGAGGTTGCAGTGAGCTGAGATCA